ATGTAAAAAAAAGTATTAAATTAAATATTAGGAGTGTAAAATTTAAAAAATAAAAAATAAAAATTAAAGACATTTTAAGAATTTAATTATTTTTTTTAAAAAAAAGGGGGTGTACTTATTAAAAAAAAAAAAAAAAAAGGAGGGGTATATATATAATCCTTGTTAGTTATATGGTTTAATAACAAAACATTTTCTCTTTTCTTTTAGACCAAATAAAAAACTTTTTTCCTTCTAATTTTTTAATTTCTAACTTTGCATGGCACCTGACACCAGGGTGCGTGATAGATATTAAGAGCAATTGTGATTTTTCTTATAATTTTTTCAGTTTCACTTTCACATTCTAATTGTGATTTTTCTCAAACATGGAGAAAAAAAATAAAGAGCAATAGTAATAAAAAGGAAAAATATTTACTAGTGTATTTCAAATTAAATATTTTCAAATTCATACATAATTATCGTAAGCTCGTCACGTTGTAAAAAAATAATACTTAACTTTTTAATTTTGAAATCAATATAATTTGGAGACTAATAGTATTATTGGATTGTAAACGCAGTTGTTTATAGTTTTTATGTAATCAATTATGTTGGGCTTTAATTAAAAAACTATTCAGATCAAAATCTTAAATGTAAAATGACAATATTTGTAAATTGATTTATAATATCATTTTAAATTTTTTATTTAATTTAATGTAAACTAATTAAAAAATTAATTTTTATCTAATTCTCTTCTATCAAACAACTTTAATTTCCATATTATTTTCTATTCTTTTTTCTTTTTCCACTTATACTAATGTATCAAGAACTTTCTATGTCAGGTGTTTTGCACATTTTATGTTGGTCTTAAATGTAACATAAATTTTGACGACATAAAATATTCACACAATCTATGACGGGTTAACACAAGATATAAAAGTTTACTTTCTATGATGGGTGGTCGATATCCAACATAGTATGGATACCAAATGTGATATTTTAATCACATTGGTATCCACATTCTATGACAAATGTAACTTTTCCTAATATATAATGTTGCACACTAACGGGTAAGGTCACAGCCGTCATAGAATGTGCACTTAAATTTTCCAAACATGTACATAAAAAATACAATCTAGATAGTTCAATACAACATATAGTTGTCTACTTCAATGCAACCCTATATAATATATAATATCTTTTGATCATTTAGAGTCAAACAATGTACAAAGTATGCTAGTTAGCAATCAAAAAGAGTTAACAATAAAGCTAAAGTGAACAAATATTGTCCTTAATTAATAAAAACGAATAATTACTATAAGAATGTACCTATGTTATCAAATAAAAATCAAGTTAAGGTAAACTAGCAATCAAAGTTAAATATCAATACCAATTTGCACAAGAAAACTATAACAATGTAAAAAAAAATGCAATTATCAAATTGACTCAAAACAAGTCAATGCCCATCATTTGCGGGTATCCTCCAACTCTTTATCAACAAATAAAGTTTAATTTTTGAATACCTATCATTAATTCAAAATAGAGATAAGTTATTAGTCAATCATTAAACTATTAAATAATCATTTAAAATAATTAAATTTATTTAAATATGTATTACCTCCCTCCACGAGTCCTTAATGTTGTCGATAATAATGGTGAGCATGTGTTTCATCACTCATGATTACCCGGTCGATGTGGATACTATAATTTAGTGAATATAAAACATAAATAAAATATAGAATATATTTTAATTCAACTATGAGTATTAAGTTGATAGTTGACCTACTTTTAAAGTAATATATTGAAGCTTTTTTCGAGCTACTAGAGAAAGCCCCCCACAAGATCAAGCTTGCATCTATAGACCTATTGTTTACGGTGGAATTAGTTTGTGGATTCTTTTTATTCGAACTAGCACAAATGGTGTTTCAAGTTAGGTATTTAACGTCTTTAGATATGAAGAATAAGAGATGGAGCAGAAAGATTAATAATTATTTGTTTTCACATATTCATCAATGACTAACAAGCAATAATATTCATGAAAGTAAACCCTCAAATAAAGAGAATGAACAATGGATATATTCGCGATACAGATCATGGTTCACTTTGTTTAACATTCAAGCATTACAAGATTAAAGTCTAGAACTGTAATTAAAAGAAGAAGAACTACATTAATCCTAATCCCAAAAAGAGAAAATAAAAATGGTCAAGAAGTGGTCAAACCCAGAAGAAATTCCTTGCAGGAAAGTCATATGCGCAGGCGGTGAGTGCTTGGGAGTTCAAGTATGAGTTTTCCAACCCTGTGAAGGTACATAACCCTTGTATTTATAGAGCCAATCAAGAGCGATTAGTTTCGTGCATGTACGCCATTAAGGATAACCGCTATCCACTATGCTTATTACGTGGCTTTAAATCGTAAGTTCTCCTAACTATTCATCCCACGTTTCAACTTTCTCGATTCGACCCCAATAACCACCTTAGTGCGTCTTAACTGTCAGGAACCTCCAGTAACTTCTTTTTCCGCTTTTTCGAGCTTTACTCGATCGATTTATATTCGACTATATCCCGAGCACGAACAAATAAGACTTGTGATATGTTCTCAATAGGTGTTGATTTTTTATCTTCGAGGAACCTCGTAAATGTAGCTTTCGACTCTACTAGTTTTCGAGTGGCTCTAACAAATGCCCCCCTAGGAATTTAGTTTTGATGATCATACCAAGTGGAAGAAAACTAAATTCATGTCGAGTTTTTCTTCGATGTTTTCTCGATTTTGTTTTACTTGATATTGATTGGTAGCACCTTTGATGAAAACCTATTTGTGACCATCAATTTAGTGCACTGACCGTTTGATTTGACATTGATTACTCTGACGGCGCATGCTTACGTTTTTCCATAACTTTGTTTGTACATTAACGTCTTGGCGGCTGTTTCAAATTTTAGTTTTTAAAATTTGAATTAAATTTATGGACCCGTTTTTCTTCAGGCCCATTCACCCTCTTAAGACTCTTTTTACCCTAAGGTGAAAATCATTTTCACCATTCTCTTCTTCTCTTCCTTCGCGCCCAAGCTTTCTTGCTCTTGCGCCCAAACTTTCTTGCTTAGTGCTTCCTTGTTTACTCGTTGCTCTCCTTGCTCTGGTTCTTGATCTTCTCTTCCAGCCATTCTTTCTCTCTTTGCCTTTGCTTGACATGGCTTCTTCTGTTGCATCAACCTCTGCCATCGTAGCATCAGCAGTTTCTCCCGTCACGGCCTCTGCATCATCTCCTACCATGGCCTCTGCGTCGTCTCCTACAATGGCCACTACATAGTCCACGCAAGCTCTTCCTCTACTAACAACCAATGCTTCAGTCTGCACCGTGAAGGATGGTGATGACACTTTCGTCCCTATCCAGGCATGGAGGAAGCAAGCCTTAAGATTTTTCAGTCTCAGGTACTTCTTCCTTTTACCCTTGCAGATGGTACTACGCATGCTTTTTTAGGACCGTTTATGGGTCAGAATAAGAAAAAATTTGGAAATACCTTGTTACCTGAGGATTCATCTACATTACCCTTCATTCATTCCTCACAAATAGACCTATCTTTATTCACAGATACTACTAAGATTTTTAGGGTTTTTCCCCCACTAAAGATAGGCATCTGCAACGGTTGATATGCGTAGAGAGTGCAATGATTTCTTCATGGGTAGAAACTGGTATTTTCGAGTTCGTTCAACTCGCAAAATTTGATCTACACCTCTTCGACCCCCAAATGCTCATTTCTGCCATTTTTTTCTGGAATAGAGAGACTCGAGCTTTCGAGTTCCCCTGTGGTTTCGTATGTCCCACTCTGTTGGATATTGCAGCGATTACTGGCTTGGCCCCTATAGGAGATAGGTTTTACCCTGATGCCTTCGAGGAGGAGATTTCGATCAAGGAAACTTCCATCTCTTGGGACAAGAAGACTTATCTGGCTCTTATTAATGCTCATATAGGAAAACCAGGTACCCTTGTTTCGACCTCCGAGCATATTGCATTTTTAATGTATTGGTTATCTTTCTGTGTCTTCTGTACTCCCTCTCTTCAGGTTCCAAAATACTATTACATTCTGGCTCAAGCCTTGCACTTAAAAAACAAAATTTGCTTGAGCAAACTTTTATTAGCTTCCCTATACCACTGTCTCGATGAAGCTTCGGAAAGCCTTTTTCGAGAATCTGGTCCTCAAAATCTGTCTGGACCGTTATGGCTACTACAGTTATGGCTTAACGCAATCTTGGAGAAGAAGCTTTCACTCACTTCGTCTTTCGCTCCAGTGTGTGAACTCGAGGGAGCCCGTCTGACCACGTTAACTCCTCGAAAGCGTTCAATCAATAACTTCGCGAAATACATTGACGCGATTCTTAGTTTTGGCCAGTTTAGCGAGGACTTGGCCCCTTTCATACGTACTTCCTTGATAGGTCCTTCTTGGCTTCGACAGAATAATCAAGTTTGGAATATGGCACCAGATTCTATCGAGATGTGGTTTGGGTTCTTATTCTGGGATGTAATAATATCTGGCATGCGATAAAAAGATGTTAGGATTTATCCCTACCAACCTCAACTTTTTTCTCTACAATTTGGACTTTGTCAGAAGAAGCCTCTTCCCCTTCGACGCAAAGAAAGCATAGATGCTGATATTTGTGTTGAGAAAGGGAATTACGAAGAAGTCTTGGATTTTCTTTTGCGTCCTGATAAACAACTCAGCCTCACACCTTGCTCTTTTTCTCATTCTTTCCTAGTTTCTAAATGTTTTCTTCGTTGGTGGTGTGAGTACTATGTTGAAAAACTTCTCGACTTTGATGATTTTTTTAGAAAGCTGATTAACTCTCCCCTTTCTTCGCAGGGCCCGAAACAATCAGGTACTTACAAGAACCAAACTATTATTTATCAATTCGAGCAATTTTTTAAGGTTTGTTATCGACCTGACAACATTGGTCGAACCATCTTTGACGCGTCTGTCTCTTTATGGAAAATGGTACAAAGGAACATTTGCTCGAAAAAGGTAATTAATCCTCGAGGCAAAACTGATTTTGAAAAATTTTGTCCAAAAAATATACCTCGTCTTCCAAATACTCTTTTTGGTTTAGTCAAACATTTATCTCGCCCTCCTTGGGTGAAGACACTTGACCCATTTTACCTTGAGCATAAAAAGATTCCCGTAAAGAATCGAGTTACATATGCGAGATGTTCCGTGTACAATTTTCCTCGACGAAGATGGTGGCCATTGTATTGGGTCGATAATACCAATCCTCCTCCTGGTAAATGTCTATAACTAAAAAAGTTTCTCGAATTCCATTTTATACTCATCTCATCCTTAACTTGTGTTATGTAGCTGCTATCCCTCAACGTGTTCCTCAACATGTTGAAGAAACTCCCAACTGAGAAAGTGATGATGATGATGATGCCAAAGGGTCATCACTGAAGGGTCGAAAAAGAAAGACTGTTTCTGACAAGGTTTCCCTACGCTCCAAGGTACAACTCTTCTCGATCTATTCTTTTAGTCGAATTTATGGATTTACTTCAAATTACCTTCTCTAATTTTTCTTCTATTTTTAGAGTCTCGAAACCTCGAAAAAACAAAAAATAGACTCGACCAGCACTAAGACTGTGAGTAAACCGTATTTGCCTTAGTACATTTTCTTAGTCTCCATTTCAAAATTCGACCATAAGGATTTTTCTTCTATTTTCAGGTTTCGACCACGAAAAAGCCAGATAAAAGGAAGGGGAAGCTAGTGATTCCTCTCCCCAAGAAAACTCAAAAGCCTCATATCGAGAAGCTTCTCAAGGATGCTATGAAATCTGTCCCCAAGGTATTCTATCTTTTAATTCGATTTCCACTTTTTCCCTGTGCTTTTGATTTCTGATATTTTTGTTTAATACAGGATGTCGAGATAATTCAACTTGACTCTTCTCGGGAAATGTCTAAGGATACTCTCGTTACCGGGGAATCTCAACAGGTCCGATTTTTACTCAGCTTTCACTTTTCTATATCTTTCCTTAGTCTTTCCTCAAACTTCATCACTTTTTTGCAGTTGACTACTCCTCAACTAAATGTTGTCGAGATGGCCTCGATAATGGCCTCAATAGAGATTCCCCCTCAAGTTGATGAGGGGAAGGTTCCCTCATCAGAACCTTTGGTGAATGTGGAAACTCTCCATCAATCTTCGCAAGGTGAAGCTCCTTCTTTCGAGCTCAAACCTCCCTTTAGTCCAAACAAGGGTATATCTCTTTAAACTTTAAATTTCTATCATAATTTGTGAAGAAATTGTCTTTCTTACACATTTTATTTGTGCAGATTCGACTGAGTCTCCTAAGCCTTTCACCGCTTCTCCTTCGACCCAAGGCGGTGTCGAATCTTTTGTACAAGCACTTTCCTCAATCCCTTCAACTGATTTAGATTTAATCAGTTTTTTTAATGAAGAGGATGAGGATATCAACAGTATTTTCGATGTTCTTGACAACTGGACGAGTGGTCCTTCTGCCTCGGAAAAAGAAAAGGTTGTTGAACAAGTTTCTGAGACCACTCCAGCTTTTGAACCTTTACTCGAATCCTTTCGATCGAAGGCATATGTGGAAGACCTTGATCAAGCTTTCCTCATCCCAGAATTCAAGGTCGAAGTTGGCCAAATGGTCGAAGATTTTCTTGCTTGTCCTGATCTTCCTCCTGCAATCCACCTTGAGCTGCAAGAGTTTATCAAACCCTTCACTCTTGCTTGGGACCTCCGATCGAAGTGGTCTAACGCTTTTCAAGAGGTAGCTCAGATTGAAGTTGAGAGCGAAGGCGATCGTGCCAAACTCGAAAAACTTCGTGAAGAATTGCTCTCCATTCGGAAAACTACTGAGGAGATGATCCATGCTTTAAAGAAATTACAACAGGAGGAAGCAGATTGCACAACATCAATCGAAGCCTTACAACATGAGTTGAATAACCTCCGCTCGAAACAGACAACTCTAAAGGCCCAAAGTCAAGAGGTTGTTCAACGTCAAAAGAGTTTGAAGGATGAAGGCAAAGTGATCTCTTCCAAACTTGCAAAGACTTTGGAGCACAAGAAACACTTGGAGAGTCAGTGTGCCGCTCGAAGACAGAACTTGGATGAAGCTTATAATGCTTTTAAAGATTTCAAGTCCAAGTTTTGTAATAATTAAATTTTTGAACATTGATTTTTAATTCCTTTTTGATTTGTATTGGACGTATATTCTAATATTCTGCTCTTTTATGAAAGCACTTTATGTATTTTCCATTAATCATTTTGCTCGCCGCATTCGAATTCATTCCTTTAATTACGTATGCATTTTTCGAGTATACTTGATCGATTATAAAGGGTCCTTCCCAATTAGAAGACCACGTTCCCAAGTGTCGGGATTTTTGATCCATGGGAAGAATCACTTTTAACACTAAGTCTCCAACTCGAAAACTGCGCACTTTGACTCTTTTATTGTATGCTTTCTCGATTCTTTCTTTTTGTTGAACAATATTCTGCAATGCTATCAACCTTTCTTCCTCTAAAGATATTAACTCATCATACATTAAATTCCAATAATCCTCGATAGGCAAGTCATTATGTTTTTGTATGTGAATTGATTGTAAATTAATATCTATGGGAAGGATAGCTTCATGCCCATAAACCAGTTTGTATTGGGTAGTTTTTGTGGCATCTCTTGGTGAATTTCTATAAGCCCATAACACTTGGACAAGTGTTTCGTGTCAATTTCGAGGCTTGCTCGAGATATGTTTCTTAATTAAACTGATAACTACTTTATTAGCAGCTTCTACTTGTCCATTTGTCTGTGCATAATACGGTGTCGAAGCTACCGATTTAATTCCTCTCGATTGAGCATATTGAACCATTTTTCGACCCGTAAAAATTGTGCCTTGATCAGTAGTAATTGTTTGAGGAATTCTAAACCTTGTTATGATATGATCTTCGACAAAATCAATTATGTCTTTTTGCTCGACTTTCTTCAAAGGAATTGCCTCAACCCATTTTGTGAAGTAATCTATTGCAACTAATATATATTTATGATTTTTCGAGGAGGGTGGATGAATTTTCCCTATAATATCTATTGCCCAGCCTCGAAATGGCCAAGGTTTAATAATCGAATGTAATTCACTTGCTGGTACCCTTTATAGTGTAGCTAAAAGTAATTTTTAGTGACAAGTATTGTTTCACTATAGGGTGTTTCATTATAGGGTGTGTCACTATATGACAATTTTTTTCCTCTTTTAGATCTAATAGTTTTCTATCAATCTTTAGAGTATCATTAAATTTAACATAGATTGATTCTTCAACTACAAAGGTTCTAGAGTTAAAAACTCGGTATGCCTTTGAAGTATCTGAATATTTAAGGAAGATGTCCTTGTCCACTTTGAAATCAAAATTTTCGAGTTGATCCTTAATGTTGAGGACATTACATTCACATCCAAATGGATATGATGTGTTGGGTTTTCACCCTTCCATAATTTATACGGTGTCTTGTTCAATATTCGCCTTATCAATATTTTTCTTTTTGGATATAGCAAGCAGTATTCACTACTTTAGCCTAAAAGTGTTTTGGTAAGGAGTATTCACAAAAAAAAGTGTTGTATTCATTTCTTGTAAGGTTTGATTATTTCTTTTGACTAACCTATTTTGTTGAGGTGTTCTCGGTGAAGAGAAGTGAAAGATACCATTCTTTCCGCAAAATAATTTAAAATTTGAGTTTTCAAATTTGTTGAGTCAGACGAAGCGCGTTTGCAATTCTCACCAAGGTTTTGAATATGACAAATATAATACATTGTTATTACTAACATGTGCATTAGTGTGTTAGTCGGATAACAATAAGTTCAAGCAATAAAGAATGATCAAGCATAATCTAGCTAGACAAAACATCAGATGATGATAGAAAAGCTAGTATCAAGACTAAGGCTGATTTAGGCATAAACCAAAATACAAGATAAGACAAGTCTATCAGCGGAAGCCTGAGGCATCAGACGCAACTTGGCCAAACATCAACATGAGTTATCACTCTTATACCTAGACGAAAAGGGTAGTCAAGATCAAATGAAGTACCTTGTATCCAGACAATGTCAAAAATACTGAAGCACGTCTGAAGTCCACTAATCACATTGAAAGAAATCACACAAGAAACATAAGAGGACATCAATGTGAATACAGAAAGAAGAAAAATAGGCAAGCATGGATTCACAATTCAAAGTTGAGTGTGTCAAAGAAAGGACACCTACTTTTCAGAAAAAAGACGCTCTGCAGTAGCTAAAATGATGAGGAAAGTACAAATATACCTAGAACATGATTGAAGTCAGATATCAAAGTAATCAACTACACAGAGAGACTCCACGAATACAAGCAAACATTTAATGCAAGATCAAATGCATTAAATGAGAAGATTTACATAGCCATGGACAAGCCTCCATTTGCAACGACATAAAGCTACGCTCCAACGGGAAAATTTGAATTAAAACAACAGGCAAATTTATCAAATGACTATAAGTATCAAGGAAAAGGAGAAGAAGAAGTAGAACGAAAAAGAGAGAAAACGAACAACAAGAAAAAGAAAGTGAAAGAGTATAAGCTACATTTTCTCAAAGCATTTCTTGTAGATCTGTGTTAAAAAGTAAGATAACTTATCTTAGTAAGTCTTGTAAATAGTCTATCCACTCTACGAGAATAAACAAACACTTAGACACTTATCCTTGTAAAACTAAGGTTACGCACCTTAGTGAGTGTAGAAACTATCCTATCCTCTCTACAAGAGTTACAAACACACTCAACACCTTCATTTGCTGAAAAGCCTAAAGAGGCTAGAGAAAAAATACTTGTGAACCAGAAGTGGTTTGAGAATACTATTAAGTTGTAGGAGTGCAGGCTTCATCTCTGCTAGTCTGTCATTCTTGGTAGGCCTCACAATGCTAGAGAATTCCCTCGGGCTAGTGTAGGTGAAAGCATCACCTATAGTGCGCCTCCGGTTATGATTGTCACCTTCACCTTCCATGTTGAACTCAGGAATGTCAGAGACAAGAACTTCAGGGATCTGATTGGTTGGTTGGTTGACTGGGTTTGCTCTAGTCCTCCTTATCCTCCTGTTGCTGTTATTCCTCCTTGCAGTGCGTTCAATCTCAGGATCGTTCAACAATGGCTCAGAAGAAGCAGTACCTCTGGTTCGGATAATACCTTGCATACAAGAGAAAACAACAGACTAGAGTGCACAGGTCAGCCCAAAGAATTCATTTGCTAAAATCAAAATTAACAATAAAAGTAAAGGAACAAGTCACAAATAGCTATAAATACTAAATTGCCTTGCTAATCCCCGGCAACGGCGCCAAAAACGTTTTGAGATTTCCGTTTAAACACTTTTGTTTTAATCTATAAATCAGTTAGATTCTATTAACGGTCTCAAACACGGCAAGTATACCGGCCGTTCAAGTAGTAAAAATATCGTATCCACAAGGATTAGAAGGTAACATAAGCATTTATTGACTATTCGTGACTAAAGAATGATTCCAATTTGTAGTTTGTCATGTGAATGTGAATTAAAGATCATGACTACTGGAATGAAAATTATAAAAATATTTGGTTGTGAGTGGAAAATGTTAGAAATGATATTGTGGTATTGTGAGGTTGTGGGGTCAGATTTCACCAAACGTTAAACTAATGAATCCTTAATCTCTTGTTAAATTCATTGCTTAGTCAACCCAATAGTTTACTCAAACCTAATCCCTTAGAGCAAGAGCCTAGGTGTGGATATTGAATATCAATCCCTTGAGTATCCAATATCTACACCCGCATTACGGGCTAGGGTTTAAGACTACTAATGGGCCAAGCTCCATTCCTAGATACATTTCCCACTAGGCATTTGTTTCAGAGCTAGTTTCAAAGGTTATTTTCCAATACCCATGGAACCTATATCATGCAAGGAGAATCAATCCAAGGCAAGCATTAAGAATAGAAACAACACAACAATGAATG